TAACGTAACCATGGTGATAGCAGTACACAGTCACGTAGCTATGATAACGTAACCATGGTGATAGCAGTACACAGTCACGTAGCTATGATAACGTAACCATGGTGATAGCAGTACACAGTCACGTAGCTATGGTAACGTAACCATGGTGATAGCAGTACACTGGTAACCTAACTTCTTCCAAACATATCTATATGCCACCTCCCGTAATACTCTACCAATGCCTTAGCCATCCGTCAGTGTTCTCTGTCGTTATATGCGACGTTTTCGTTGGTCGTTTGTTTGTTGCTAATGTCTGTGTAGTGTTTACAGGTAACTGGTAGTACGGCGTTGTGCGTATGTAGACGAAAGAGTAATGCTATTGTAACCTCGTACTTCGCGGGTGTAAGGCCGTAGGAGTAAGGAGCAGCAACAGCGTGAGACAAGAAGCAAACACGAACTAGTAACGTAACGTGACCACAAACAGTTATATTGTTCATAATGCAACAGTGAGTAAAGAGCAGAAGCGTAAAGACGGGTGTGTACAACAAAGCGTAGGTGATAGTCAAACAAATGGAAAGGGAGTGCCCCCTGCTCCCTATCGCGGCGCTCTTAAATATAGCCGAACTTGTTGTTCGACCTACCCGGTCACGACGTGCGCCGGCTGCGGGTTATAATATTTTATCCCGCACTCCGGCTTCTCTGTTGACGTCGTTAGCTACCTTATTGCTTCTATTATTACCCACACGCTGCATCCCGCGCACCAAATATCTCGTATATTTCCCGCTGGCTTGTCGCCAACGCGACCCGCACGGCTTCGCGCCTGAACTGACAGTAATTAATGAGCTAGCCTGAAACCAGCTCCGTTACACCACTCTCCCCTAAATGAAACTGTTGATCGCTCCGATCAAAGAATGGCGAGATAGAGTGCAGGTGCGTGACGCAGTATCACCCATGAAGATTTAATTAACGTTTACCGCGGGCGGGTGTGGCACGTTATTTTGGCTGCTCTAGTGGACGAGAAGCGTATACGTTAAAACCCAATATATGAATAATATTCGCGCGTATGCCGTCGCGCGTGGCATCTGGCGCTTACAATGAGATCTCTGCGCGAGCCTTAACAAAAAGTCCTTAGCTACGAGTCCCTTCACCTTCACCTTACCCCCTCTATATCGCTTGAGACTCGTTACATAATACAATACTCTATCCCAGCTACCCAACCTGTTCTAACTAATCTAAGAAAATACCCATCACCACATATATAATAGGTTGAACGCGTTAGATCTCCGTGGTGCCGTAACTTGACTTGGTCGTGGCCGTGGATGTGGCGGGGTGCGTCACTTGGTGATGGCTGGTCCGCCTGCTGCACGATGCAGCCGTTCCATCGTGCCTGGCAGGGCGGAGCGGGGCGGGGAGGGGAGGGGGTGGCTCACGCTACCCCCTCTCAAGTCATGGCGCGCACGGGGCGGCGCGTGCAGTCCTCAGGCAGCGCTCCGTCGTTCGTCGGCGCTCAGCCGTGTTCTGCCGGCGACGCATAACCCTCATCCCGTGGCTCGTCGGAGTCGTCTTCGTCCCAGTCGTCCAACCGCTCGACGTAATACGGGACGGCAGGGATGGCCGTGAAGAAAACGAACGTGTGCGGCGGTGGGGCGCGTCTGACCCAGTAGTAGGGGACGCCGACCACGCCAGCAACGCCAAACCTCGAGCCAATCTATGAAGTATGATAGACGGCGCGGGATGCACAGGCGGCCGCCGGCGCAACGTTGATCCCACGCCCATACGGCGTTACGCCTGAACTGACAGTAATTAATGAACTAGCCTGAAACCAGCTCCGTCGCACTATAAGCAAACCTCAACTGACGAGAGAGAAAGCGAAAACGAACGCTATATATATATATCAGGAGTCTATATATATGTATATATATATAATAAGCATGCAGTGGTGTGTATAGTGTGTGGTTTCCCGCAGGTCTGAACAGTATGATTACCGACTCTTTACATTCGACACGGCTCGCGATGTCAAACATGATATAATCATACTTGCATTCATCTGCGAATCACTGCCGCACGCAGTGAAAGCCATTGGAAACGAATTATCCGTGCGAGATGCCCTAATTGACATCAATATATTGATCATGGATGCATGCACGTTCGATATCGCTAGTTAGTGCATGTTATGATATAAATCTTATTATTAGAGCAACGAATATAAGCGATGTACCTCTTATACATTGTCCAAGATAAACACAGACACACACACACACACACACACACACACACACACACACACTCACACACACACGCACACACACACACACACACACAAACA